CTTTTTCCTTCTCATACTAAGACTCATAGTCTTCATCCCATACTCGTAAAATGTACCTAGAAACAAAAGGGAGAGCAAACATGCTGTTTGTCCTCCAGTTCCCACCTTCCTGAATCAGATGAGGGCAAGAAAGAAAAGCAGACGGCACCCACACAGAAACTCCACAACTGTTCACATAGCTCTAACCAACAGCTCCCTGAGTTTGAGTTGCATGTGCAAATGAAAGGGAGAACAGAAGTTCTTGAGTAGGGTTTTTTAATTAAAATTATTTTCAAATAATCTTAGTAATAGAGCTGAACTGAAAGAGGAGCAAAAGAGAAGTCCATCTTTATTATACTTTATGTTGGACATCTTTGAAAATGGCAGTTTCAGTGCCCCCCCTTTTTTTTGCCTAAAACAACTTCAAATATTCAAATATTGTGTACTCCATGCAAACAAAACCGTACTTTAGTATTTATCTGTCCCTAGAATGGAGCAGTAGAAACGGTTTCAGAAGAAGCAAAACAAACTACACAATATCAAACATCTCCCATTCTCCAAAGAGTTCCAGTAATGTATTGTAGTAATAATTTAGTGTAGAGAAACAGGCTTCTGAATCACTTTCCAGAACGAATGAGCAAGCATGAAAACCACTGATCTTGCCTATTTAAAAGTAACCTGTTACATTATTACCAATACATCAGCTGATAAAAATAACTTGATCATTATGAAGGTAATTTCTTGTTATCCTTAACAAGAAACAAGAAAAATTATGAAAAGCATAAAAAAGTTTGAATATGGTGTCATGGTCACTCTAACAAAAAAATTACAACACAAAAATTAGTATCCAATTTTTCCTTAGACATAATAACCAAACTATAAATGACTATAAAACACAAAGAAGGTACATCCCTTTCCCAAAAAGCGAAGTAAATAAACAGTAAAATAGTTTACATAAATATACAGTAATATTTTGACTGTTCAAATTAGATAGCCATGTTTGATGTTTTAATTAGAAGTTTATGGATAGTATTAATAGCAATGTAAATATTTTTTACTTTTCTAGTAATATCAAGGTGCTCTTTTCCGTAAGATAAAATGCCAATAATAAAGGTGGTGGGGAACATGGGAGAAACACAGAAAATTTAAAAATGGATTTGTTTTGTCTTCTGAATGCCTACACGTACTTATAAGGAAAAAAGAGACCACCACTGTCCCCAGGTTTTGTGCATTTTTGATGGAAAATGACAATAAGAAAACACCTTGAGAAATAATCATATTTGTTGTTATTTAGAGTGTCTAGATAAGGTTTAACATCTTTGGAAATATCATGCAAATATTATTTAATTCATCCTCATTAAAAATTGAGGTGGGTAACACCATGATTGCCTTTTGATGAAGTAGTAGACAACGTGGTCAAGATTTTAGCCCGAGGACTTAGTTGGGCTGGTTATCCCAATTTGGATTATCAGCCCAACTTCTGAAGAATCAGAACAGCTCCAATTCCATTTGTTTCTAAAATGTTGGAAAGAGTTGGCCTGAAAAGATTTTGATTTCTGTTTATTACCTGGATCTCACCCATGTCTATTAATTGAACGGCTTTCTTGGAGGATAGCACTCTGCCACACAGACATCCCGCGCTCTTTTAATTGAGCCCCTTTGGGGGAAAGTATCGTTTAAATATAACAATATATTCAGAACCCTAAAATAATTTGATCTATAATAAATTCTTAAGCAAGGGAGGGAAGACCAGCCTGGGGACCCCGGGAGGGGAAGATTGCCAGGTACGAAGTCAGAGATTCACAAGGAAGTTGGAGAAGCTCCTTCCCTAGAGACTTTTAAAAATAGACTAGACAGTCTTCTCCACAGAGTGGTGTGTAGAAGGCCCCATTATACTTTGCTATTAGAGAACTTAGTTATAGGTTTCCTTAGACATGAAAAGAAATAAAATAAAAGTGGAAAGGAAGAAGGGAAAGCCATCTTAGGTGAGGAAAGTTCAATTTCAGAAATGCTATATAATATGAAGGCTCTGATTTTTACAACTGATTTTAAGAATAAAGTCTTAAAGGGACTTAGTTTTTTTTTTTTTTTTTTGAGAAAGTTTTGCTATAGGATGTGTGCACTCGCCAGAGAGACAGAAAGAGACAGAGAAACAGAAAGTAAGAAATCACCCCCCAGGGGGAATGGTCACACCACAATCCCTTCTCCTCCATTCTCTTCTCAGAATCTTGGGCATGCACACACAAGCACCTGGCATGAGTTTTAAGCTGCTGGGTCTGGGACTCAAACTGTGGTCGACTACGTGGGAGTCCAGCAACATAACCACTACAACATCTGCTGTTCCCAAAAAGACTTAGATTCTAATGTCTGCTTGATCCCACTGCCTTCTATTTTTATCTACATTTTATATTACTATCTTATTCACTGCATACCTACCAGGTCAAGCAAAAACTGAAAGCTGTGTGGATATTTAGTTTTTCCCTTCTTTAATGCCATAATTCTTAATATAATTGAATATAGATGTATACAAACACCTATACATATGTATGATTTAATATCTTTTCAGGGAAAATGAACATTTTAAATGTATATAATCTTTTAATTAATAAACTATAAAATATACTCATCAAATACTCCATACAACTTTCTTCTTCAATCATCATTCAAGTTTGAGACAAATCCTTTTCTCATTAAAAGAACAAATATAAAAGAAAAAAATCTGAGTCTAATCTGGATACTTGCATGTATACAGAACATAAAAGAGAGAAGCTGTTTTTCATTACCCATGCTCAAAAGTTGGGCTGCATTTTTACCTGTAGGATTAGAAGTGTGTATTTGAGGCCTTTTGCTGAAATACTACTGAGATTTCTTCTGCAATTGCTATTTTGGTTCAACTAATCATTCTTTTTTAAATTGGTTACATATTAGTAGCATTTAGATAAGCATCCCTTTAAAGTAAGTGAGATGCTCTAGAAAGATAAACTTTAAGCAGTTGAAAAATAGAACTCATTTGATTTTTATCACAACAACTTTCAGAAAGTTCTACAGAATGTTGTAAAAGATTTGGCAATTCTATCACTTTCATAAGTTTCTTCATATTGTAATTTTTAATTGAATGCTGCTCCAGCATCACAGAATAATCTTTGTGAAACTAGTTTTAAAACTCCATTACAGGTCCAAATTGAAGTCAAAATTCAATAAGGGACGCCCCCAATGCAAAACACAATGCAATATGTCCATTGGCTACACAGATTATCATTTACACAAGGTTAAATTTTTCAACTAGCAGCCAACATTTCTAACCTGCAACCTTGTCTATGTTTTAATAAATGTTATCTGAGGGTATAGAAAATTCTACACATTACAGGGCTTTCAATAACATTCCAAGCTTTTCCAAATAGCACATACTCTTATCCCCTATATTGTTTTTCTACTTGCTAATGTAATAATCATCGTAAATATGCCATCTTACTAATATGCAATGTATAGTGTGTTCATGATGGGAAAATAATCTTGTATGTCATATAGATGTACAATGATTAAATGTAAAAAAAAAAGGAAAAGATGAAAAAAAATGTTAGCATTCTAGAAATCAGAAATCCAACATGGGTTTCACTGAGCTAAAACTTAAGGTGCTGGTATGGCTGGCCTGCCTTCCTGAAATCTCTAGGAAAGAGTCCATTTGTTCACTTTTCCAGTTTTTAGAAACTGCCATATTAGGGACCAGCAGGTGGTGTAATGATTATGTCGCTGGAGTCCCACGTAGTGGATTGTGGTTCAAGTTCCAGACCAGGCAGCTTAAAACTAACAATTCGTGTGTGTATGTGCATGTTCAAGATCCCAAGGGGAGAATGGAGGAGAAGGGATTGCAGCATAGCTATCCCCCCTGTGTGTGGGGGGGGAGTAGTGATTTCTCACTTTCTCTCTTTCTGTTTCTTCAGCAAGTGCACCCACCCTATTGCAAAAATCTCTCTTTAGAAAGAAAGAGAGAGAGAGGAAGGGAGGGAGGGGAGAAGGAAGGAAAGAAGGAGGGAGGGAGGGACGGAAGGAAGGAAGAAAAGAAAGAAAGAAAGAGAGAGAGAGAGAGAAAGAAAATGGTCATAGTCATTACCCATGACCACCTTCTACCATCTTAAAGGCCATCAACAGAAGCTTCTGGCCTCCCCAGATCTCTTCCCTTTGACCTGCTTTGCATGCTCTTCCATTGTTAAGAACTCTTGGGATTAAAACCAGTCTACCTGGATAATAAAGGGATAAATCCCTTATTATATTGTACTTTTTTCATAATAGAGCACACGTGATTGCACACATGAGACAAATGGAAGGTTAAGAAGAGAGAGGCATCCTTAACAGAATCCCTCATACCCAGCCAATCAGCTTCTCAGGATCCTGGGTACCGTGTACCCAGTGTATTTTCAGGTCAATCTGCAAATCCAAACTCAAAGTCTACCGTATAGAGTACTTGTGTTATTGCTGCATCACAGTGGCTGGGTCAATTTTCATTTTTCAAATTAGCAACCTTAATTCCATAGCGGACTTTAATTCTCCTTTACCATGTCATGTAGCATTTTTACAGATTCCAGGATTAGGTTCTGGATTTCTTGGGAGGAAGGGCACAATTATTCTTCCTGTCTCCACTATCTAAACAACAGATTTACTATAAATTCTCCTATACCAAAAGGTACTTAAAAAAAAAAAACACCTAAAAATGTCTATATAGCCCCAGGGGTTGGGGGCATGCTGAGAGCTCTGCAGCCTGGCATCTCTTTACATGAGCCTCAAGGCAACTTGGGATGCCAGAACAGGCAGGGAAGCTCTTCCATCAGGTACCTGCTATGCACCACTTTGACAAAAAGATAAGAGATGATGAATAAGGAAAGAAATTGATTCAGTGAGGCCAACAGTAGGGAGAGAGCAGACTGAGTCCATAACCATCTCCATCATTCTGTATAAAGAACTTACATAGAAGACATGAATGTAAGGCACTACCAAGAAGCAACAGGCAAGTTACTCACTGTCTTAGGCAGAATCGTGAGACCTGATCTTTGTCCTTGGGCAGGAGTATGAGGAGACTCAGTAGCATCAGGTAGGCAATCCCTTCTTGAGGGCAATTTCCTTGCTGAACATGCAGGGCAGAATGGTCACTCCTAGTTCTCTCTGCAATGGGTTTACATAGAAACAATGAATAACAATGCACCAGAAGCAAAGTGGAGTCTGTCTAGACAATTCTTAGATCTTGGTTTAGAAGCAATGAAGGTCTAGGTGTGGTTGATAAAATCTTCTCACCAGTCATATAGGTGGGAGCTGGTGGAATTTTCCCCCTCATCCCCCAGCTCCATAGCCAGGTACCGATAAAGATTCAGCAAATCATGGTTAACTTCTATTAGTCAAGGCTTAGTCTTCACTTATTGTGAGGGAGGTTTAAAGATTAAAAATTAGGTTCTGTAAAGCTCATTGGGAAGTAAAGTTAAAGATGTGATGTGGTAATTAAGGCGCTAGACTCCCATATGGCCAACCATAGTTTGAGTCCTGGACCTGACAACTTGCTTCTCTCTCTCTCCCTCTCTCTCTCTCTCTCCTTGGTGAGCACATGTACCTATACCAAAATTAATAATAATAATAAAAACAGTAATAAACAAAATTAAAGAATTCTAAAAAAATTCATTAATTTTATTATTACTATTTTTAAATATATTAATGATTTTTTAAAGAATTCTTTAACTTTATTTATTACTATTTTTTTAAAAATATGCTATAGTGCACATGTGTTCACCAGAGAGAGAGAGTGAGAAAGCAAGCCACCAGGTCCCGGACTCAACCCACAAACCACAATCAATCATGTGGGAGCCCAGCACCTTAACCAACATGCTACCTGCTGGTCCCCAAATAAATAATTCTTTAAAAAAATAATTTTAAAAAAAGATACATTTTCCTTAGATTTAACCTATTAAGATGGATGCCAAGGCTGAGTACAATACAGAGTCACTGGTTCTCCTATGGCTCAGTTACCCTATAGTACCTGAGACAGAAGGACAAAGAACACAGTGGCAAGGCCAACTGCTAGTGTCTACCCCGTGGGCATCACAGTGTGGCACAAAGCTCCCAGGACTTCTACAATTCAAAATCAAATTTGGCCTTCCAGGTTATTAAGGGTGAGGGCAGAACATATTTATTTGAGAGTTTGTCAGTGTAACTTATGACTTTTAAAATCTATGATGGGAGTGGGGAGGAGCAGATGGCATAGTGGTAAAGGCACTGGACTTCCACATGGTAGACTACAGTTAGAGTCCTGGGCCCAGCAGCTTGAAACTCACATAGGGCACATTAGTGTGCATGTGCCCAAAATCCTAAGAGGAGAATGGAGGAGAAGGGATGGCAGCATGGCCAACCCCCCTATGGGGTGATTTCTCACTTTCTTTCTCTTCATCTCTTTCTGTCTCTCCAGAAAGCACATGTACCCTATAGCAAAAACTTCTCAACAACAATAAATATATATATACATATATATATATGTATACATATGTGTGTGTGGGTGTGTGTGTATGTGTGGGTGTGGGTGTGGGTGTATTCATGCATAGAGTATGTGAAAAGATATCTACACTCCTGCCTGGGGCCTTGAAAATATTATATTTAGACATGCTTATTTTAATTTGAATTAAATTTGCACATCCATAAAACAAGTTTACCTCTCTCCAGAAACATTTCTGTCATATGCTAAAATGTATCTGATTTCATTCACTTTAATTCAAATTATTCTCAGATACTACCAAACATCATTAAATTTGGTGTTCAGAGGACCTGGATGATTCCAGCTTCATTTTCTTAAGGATCCAAGTTAGTCTATAGTGAATGGATAAATCCAACAGAAACCAAGAAAACCCTGGGTTTCATAGGCTAAGCAGAACATAAAGGATTGACACAGAGAAACCAAAGACAAGGAAAAATGAACAGGGACCAATCAAGTAATGATGACAGATTTTCATTATTGTTTCATTGGTGGAATTTATGAAAGAAAATCTAGAGAAATTTTATATTAATGTTCAAACTTACTCATTTACTCAATGAAAACAGTTTCAATTTGGGAAAAAGTACTTCCAAAAATACAAATTTAAGTTCTCTGTGATAAAATGTGAATCCAAAAATTCATGGGGTATGCTAGGACTTAAATATCAAGGGCAAATCTGTCCCAACCTGGTTCAATGGACTAACATCAGCCCTAATTAATGTGTATTAATCTCCCACTGATGGTCAATGTTATTTTTGACATATCATCTCAGTGTGACTACATTTTTAGCTATTTGTGTTATTGAAAACATGGAAAATAATTTCAAGTTGTTTTCTCATATCTATACTTTTTTAGATAAGAATTCTGGAAAGAGCAAACATAGTTCTAATTTCCTATTGATTATGACTTCCACTAGTTATGGATACCTTTCTTATTGTCTGATTGTATCTGCTGCTGAAGAATGAAGGGAATTTAATTAACTCCAAAAAATTTACTAAATCTAAGGAAGTATTTTTACAAAATACCATTCTTTACTTAATAAAAGGCCAGTCCCATATTTCATGACTTTCCATTCAACTGACAGAGCTGTGGTGTTTATAATTGTGTATGTAAAGTCATCAGTCTTCTAGAACCATCTTTAGCTGAGCGAGCCCCAAAGCATGGTCCATTCTGCTCAGATCTGATCAGCATCTTTATAGCTTATCAGCCTTGGGGTTCAATTTTGTTTTGGATGCTTTTATAAATGAGCACAATCACTGGTGAATCTGTTCTTCCAGATTGCAAAGAGAAAAATCGAGAGAGGAACTTTAGTAGATTACTGTGTCATTGAGAATAAAGTACAAGCATGAATGTACCTCAAGTAGTCTCAGGGATAATTTTGTAGGATGTACATTTTCAGTTTTATTTCAGTAAAATTAGATGATTGTTTTAGTTATTGTTGTTTTTGAATTTATGCACTATCCCCAGGCTAGCGGTATGATCAATGCATTATCTAACAAAATCAATTTGTTCCAAAGTACTAGTTTTTTCTTAAAAGGAGAGAATGATGAAATAAAAAAGAAGTGACAACAGATAGAAAGTGCAAGAATTATTTCTGGACCTTCTTCTAGACAGGTGTATGATGCATTTTATAGCTTTTAGTGTGATTGTTCTCAGGATCCGACACAACTGAGGAAATAGCAAAAGCCAAGAGGAATTTTTAATTATTTTAATGGCTTTTGAAGTTATAAAATTATGAGAAAAGGACTCATTATTTACTTCAACGATTTTTGAAGTCAGTAAAATAATGAAGGTATAGCATTCAGAGAAAAGTTTTATTTCTCACATGTATTTATGCAAATTATTCATTATCTACATTGCAGGACTAAACACTGAATGATCCTTAAAGAATGTTTAGTTTGCACACTTTTTATTTTCTCATTCTGTGCAGAGCATCATATCCGATGACTTCATAAAAAACACTTGCAGTGGAGCCAGCAGGTGGTCTGGTAGCTAGGGTGTTGGACTCCCAGTTTGGACTCCCACATGGCTGATTATGGTTTGAGTCTCAGACCTGGCAGCTTGCTTTCTCACTTCCTCTCTTTCTCTGGTGAGCATATGCATCCAATAGCAAGTTTAAAATTAATAATAATAATAATAATAATAATAATAGAATTAAAGAAGTAATTCTTTTTTAAAAATTAAAAAAAAAACACTTGCGACAAAGAACTGAAACATGAACTACACCTATGAATTTAGCAATAACACACTTTAATATTCACCCAAATGACCTGAAAAGTTGTAACCACACAAAAACCTTCATAAGAATATTTATCCTTTATTCATAACTACCAACACTTAGATACGACTGAAAATTCCTTCAGTTCGTAAAGTGATAAATGAACTAATGCAGTATTTCTAAACACAAAAGAAATGAACTATCAAGTGATGAAAAGACATGGAGGCCACTAAAATGCACATTAAGAAGTGAGAGGATGGACTGTAGGGTGGCCATCCCCTTGGGAGTTGATTTTTCACTTTCCCTCTCTCTGTCTCTATTTGTGGCTTTCCAGTGAGTGCATGCACCCCATGGCAAAAACCTAAAAAACAAACAAACATCATTTAAAAAAAAAAAAAAAGCATATTTGACGACTGCAGCGAGCTGTATGGGCCCAGCTGGGTACTACTTTATAGTATGTTCATTCTACTCACTGGGGTTTATGCCTAAAGTCAGACTTGGGTTCATGTATAG